TGGTTTCCACAGGAAGTTCCCCCACTTTAGAAGTAAGCAAAGGACAAAAAATTAGTTCTGGCCCAGGCACACCAACAGCGCCTTGGGGCCTGCCTGGAGACCCAAGGCATTGAGAAGGTGACTGGACCCCATTTCCACATTAAGGCCCATGGCCAGCACCTCAGAGCCCTGCCTGGAGGTCTGGGGCATGGAGCCAAGGACCAGAACCCCCTCCCACAACCAGGCACATTGTGCCAGTGCCTCATGGCCTGCCTTGGGAACCAAGGTATGGAACTGGGGACCAGACACACACCACAACTAGGTGCACCACCAGCACCAAGGAGCATGCCAAAAGCATAACCTCCATGTAGGTGCCCACCACAGCCACCACAATAACCATGGCTGCTGTGAAAGCAGCTAGATGCCACAACCACCACTCAGATGGTCCACCAACCACGGGAGTGCACTGACACAAGGAGAGTCACCAGCAGAGATAAAGAAAAGAATAGGATGTCTCTCTCCACAAAGCCCATTTCAGAGTGACAGAAGAAGCATCTGCTCTATGATATATTGGGGGGCCTGATCACACCTCTCAGCATTGGGCACATTATCTAGACAACAAATCAACAGAGTAACCATTACTCTTTCAGAAGGAGAGAAGAAATCTAGGGTAATTAGAGGGGGAGGGGGCAGGGAGAGGGGGATGGGAAGAGATTGGACAAGGGACATAAAGAATAATTATGATTTGTAACAATATATATGCTGGTAATATTGATTTGATTAACATATGTCAATGTTGAACACCAAAACTATGTATAATCAATTTTGATTCAATAAACTAAAAAAAAAAAAGAAAGAAAGAGATGTTGATCAAAGGGTACAAAGTTTCAGTTAGACTGGAGGAATAAGTTTTAGTCATCATTGCTCTGCTTGGTGATCACAGCTAATAATAATGTATTGTGTATTTCAAAATAGTTAAAATAGATTTTTAACATTCTCACCACAAAACAATGACAAATTGGATTGGTGATGGATATGTTAATTGGCTCGCTTGAATCCTCCTATAATGTACAATAGATCAAAACATCACATTGCACCCCATAAATACACATAATTATTATTTGTCAATTAAAGATTAAAATAAAAAAAAAAAGAAGTGACTCTATCTTACCCTTCTCCAGTTCTTCCAAGCCTAATCTACTTTTGTTTTCTATAGATTTGCCTATACAGGACATTTCATTTAAATTATTTGTGCTCTTTTGTGTCTGGCTTCTTTCACTTTGCATAATGTTTTTGAGGTTCATCTGAGATAGGAGGTGCTCAGTTTCCCAGGGTTTAGTTTTCAGGCCACTCCCCTGGGTCTCAAACCACTCCTCTAGCACTCAAGCCCATCCTCTGGGCCTAAGTTACTGTTGCTTGTTGCATCTGTTTTCAGCATCAACATGGGGAGATTGAGACTGCAGGAGGCGGACTTAAGTAATTTTGGTGGCTGAGCATGCTCAATAGAAAGAAATTTATCCTTGAAGGACCTTCCACTGGAGGCATTAGAGAGCACTGAATATAATCTGAGTATTTTTCAGTGAATATGTTGGAAATGCTCCAGAGAGATCAACAGAGCACACACAAGGCTAGGTTACATAACCAGTTACATAAGAGTTACATAACTGGGAACCAACTCCTTAGTTTAATATTCATTAGATAAGGGCTGGCCTGTGGCTCACTTGGGAGAGTGTGGTGCTGTTAACACCAAGGCCATGGGTTCAGAACCCTATATAGGATGGCCAGTTACCTCACTTGGGAGAGCGTGGTGCTAACAACACCAGGTCAAGGGATAAGATCCCCTTACCAGTCACCTTAAAAAAAAATTCATTAGATAGCATGAATATGTATAGAATAGCCAATCTATACAGTTGGAATCCAGGAGGAAGGTGGGGCTATGCTCACTTTTAAACCAGCCTGCACTTTGTTGGTGAAGAGTGTATTTCTTTCTTGTTGTATTAAACCTGTGTTTGCTTTCTACTCCAACTCTGCTCTTGAATTCTTTCCTGTGGCGGAGTCAAGAACCTGGTAGAGAATGGGGTTGAGTTCCGGCGTCCGACCTCCCCACACCCTCTCATCCAGTGACATATTCATATTGTAGCATATGTCTGTATTTCATTCCTTTTATTGCCTAATAATGTTACATTGTCTAAATATACCACATTTTGTTTATCCATTCAAGGGACATTTGACTTGTTTTTGATGCTTTTATAAATAGAATTGTTTTCTTCATTTCATTTTTGGCTTGTTAATTGCTAATGTATAGAAATACGATTGATTTTCGTATGTTGATTTTGAATCCTGCAACCTTGCTGAATTTTTAAAAAAATTAATTCTAATTTTTTTTAGTGGATTCCTTGGGATTTTTCTATTCACAGGATCATGTCATCTGTGAACAGAGATAGTTTTACTTCTTCCTTTTCAATCTGGATGGCTTTTATTCTTCTTGCAGTTTCTTCTTCCACCTATCTTTACTTTGCCATGATGCTTCATGGTTTAAACTCTGTATCATAGCTTCTCTTTTTGCTATCTTTTCTTTTTTTCTCTGCGTTGGAGTTTTTTTAACTAAAGAAAATTCTTTTTGTTTATCTAAACATGATTGTATGTATCTGATATCAATACCTGTATGAAATATGTGATGCTCAAATCTTGCTATCTTTTTTGTGCTCTGAACTTTCAAGTTTAAATTTGAGAAAGTGACAGCGATAGAGGAAAGGGAGAAAGACAGAAAATCTGAGTGGCTCAAGTGTTAGCTATTAACTTAGTTTGGGCAAAGGTTTGCATTCTAGCTGATAGGTCTCTAACTAATAAATGCTGCCTTTGAGTTAGATAACGACTAATAAGCTGTAGCCAGAAAGAAAGGGAGGTCACAGATTATGGGTGGCTGAGAAAGGGGCTGTAAGCATGACTGGCCTTGGAAATTGACACGGATAGAACAATATTGTTATAGGAGGCATTTTTCCAAGAATAAGATGTGCAGATGCTCCTTGACTAACAATGGGGCTATGTTTAGTCAAACCCATCATAGTTTAATGCTGGCAACAGAGGAGATGATCCCTGACTTATGAAGGTTGGACTTTTGACTTTACAAGCATTTATCTGGACGTATTTGTGGGACTCCACGGAATGTGTATTGTTTTCCTTCTATCGTAAAGTAGAAAAATCAGAAGTCGCTGAACTATTGTTAAGTCATGGACTGTTTTTTAAAAAAAAATTCAGAGGACTTCTTTATAATGTTGGTTGAAATGGATTGGGGATTCTAAAGCGTTTTTAGATTGTCTGCCAGACAAGACCACTTTCGTGTTTTTGTAGCATAAAAAGTGAAGGCACCCCATTACTTTCTCATGCTTAGTCTTCATCATCTTTAATATACTTGGTTGAAAGAACTCTAAAATTCTAAGGAAATAACTATATTCAAGATAATTCGTGGTTTCTCCATCTCGCTCTCTCTTCAAGAAACCCTTTCTTTGTAATTAGTTATTTTGGTAAGCATTTCTTGAGCATCTGTTTTATGTAGAATCTCCAACACATGCTACCTATTGAGATAATAAGTGAGCATATGTTTGTGGAGGGGAGATCCCAAAGAAATGAAAGACATAATTCCTGGGAGTTTTAGTGCCCTGTAGAAGATTTAAACATATTATATAACTTGAGAATAAGTACAAAGTAGCATGTAATCTCAAAACTGAAAAGTAACAGGGTATGATTTAAATGCATATATGTTGAAAAGAACAAAATGTGCGTGTAATCAACACTCTGCCACTGATCAGGGATATAGAGACGAAAAAGATAGTTTCTGCTCTAAAGATTCTTACAGGAATAGATCAGCACATAATTGAAGCTCAAAAAATGTTATTGCATTGTTTTGGATGCCTTTGGCATAGGAGGATGTCATGCGGTGTTGTGGCCTGCTGCTTATAATGTTGAAAGGGGCTACCTAAAGATAGCACAATTATTAACCTAATTTCTAAAGAGAATACATCTGCCTCTGTAAGATTAAGGTCATAAGGGTAAACTTACGTGTAACAGAGTGTTTAGCAAAAAGTAATTAAATATGTACACGGATAACCTAAGAATTAGTTACTGATCTTGTAGAGGTGAAATACTGAACTAGAAACTTTCCAAAATAGATCCTCTCATCTTTGCCTAATGTAATTTTAATTCCTCCGCTAATTTACGTCGTCTTTGGTCATCACAACTTTCCTCCGCCAAACCATATTATGGCCTAATTAATGTAACTGAAGTGGAGGGAGACACAAGTGTGGAAAGTGAGTGCCCTGCATGCTTGGTGCAAATAATTTATTCTCTGTGTTTTCTCATATGCACATTTGAAAGCCACAGTATTTAAAATTTTACTTTAAAATAAAATAAAATAATAAATAAATAAATAAATAAATAAATAAATAAATAAATAAATAAAACAAGTGCACCGTTCACGAGATAAAGTCTGGTTTTTCTGAATGCAGGTTTTTTTTTTTTTTTAATGGCTAAGAGTAAAGTAATGAAATGCTAAGTTTTGCATCAGGTATTTGTATGTAGGAATGGCTTCATCAGTAGGCAGAGTGCATCTCCCTCATTCAACATTCCATTAAGAGAGAGATGGTGTCTTTTAACTCACTAGTCTGTTTCTAGAATAACGTCTTCAAAGCATGTTTGCTGGATGAATGAACTTTGAAAGTTGCCCACTTAGAAGCATTTCTTGCCATCCAGACCACAACTCCCAGAATACCACGCTCCCCTTGCGCTGCGGGGAGTAAGGCAAGACTGCCCCAGCACACACTGCGCCGGATCCAGACTACAATTCCCACTACACTCAGGGGCTCCTGAAACCTTGTCAAACACCACCTGTTGCCATAGCATCCGGGTTCAGGCCAGCCAATCCGAGCGCCTCTGCCGAGTAGAGGCGGGCCGATCGCCTCTCCGACCAATCCGAGGCATTTTTGTTTTGGCGCGTGACCGGAGGAGGCGGGAGCGCAGAACCGGCGCCTTCTCCTTGCTTGTGGGGTCGTGGCCTTGCTCCCGCTGCGGGAGGAGAGGCTGCCGGCGTCTCCACGCGCGTGAGTGCGCCTGGAGCCTGAAGCCCTCGTGGGTCCGCGCTAGGTCTCTGCGGGGGCAGAAGCAGGAGCCATGGGCGGGACCGCCAGCACCCGCCGGGTCACCTTCGAGGCGGACGAGAATGAGAACATCACCGTGGTGAAGGGCATCCGGGTGAGTGGCGGTGGGCGGGAGGAAGGTTAGAACTCGAACTTGGACCCCAATGCCCCGGCTTTTCCAGGACCCACTCAGCCTGGCTGGCCCCGTTCTAGCTCTTGTTTTGTCCAGCCAGAATCCCAGGTCTCTGGGGAAAAGCCGGGAGTTTCAAGACTTGGGGCATTCATTCAGAGAGAGTTCCCGGTTGTGTGCCCAGTGCCAGGCACTGTGCTGGGGCGGGTGGGGGATGCCAGGTTGAATTGGAGCCTCCAGGGGCTCACTGCCTTTTCCTAACCGTACGCCGTACGCTCACTAGTTGGGGAACGTTATTTGAAACTCCTGCTTCATTGTACCTATCTGTGAAATGGGTCTTGACTTAGTACTCCTGGATTCAGGACCCAACCTCTGCTTTTCCACTGCCCATGTCGTCTCTCTCGGGGTGAATTGACATTTTAAAGAGCGCCTTTATTTGCTTTCTGTCGTGTAGTGCTCTCCCCCTGATGCCACCCCTTCCCCCAACACACTCACACACCCCCAGCTCTGCAGCCTTTTCTGGCCTGCGTGGGGTGACTTCTGCCTTCCTTCACTTTCACTTGATGTCTCGTCTTTCCCAGGCGCCTCCTCTGGGGCCTGCTGCGCCTTCGTTTTGGACTAGGCCCAGTTTCTTCAAGGCCTTGTGTCTGCCAGACTGATAGGGGCCGAGATAGGTTTGCAGTTTTTCAGACCAGTGCAAGTAATGTAGTTAGTTCTGACCGAGACGTTGTAGAGAATTTTCTTCTTATGCCCCGTGCCTGTACTTGATACATAAACAGAAAACTTGATCTTTCTCTAGAGTGTCAGTACAGGCACTAACTTCATTAACACACTCTTCGCTGCACCTGAATTTGGAGCCTCACATTTTTTGGAAGTATGATCCCTGAATGTATAAAATAAAGCAATTTCGACTTCAGAAAGTTTTATAATAACTTTATATATTTTTTCCTCTATTATTACACAACCAGCATAAATGAATTAAATGTGTAAATTATTTTTAGCATTTGTTACTAGGAATTAAAACTTCTTAAATATTTGAAGTGTTTATAAACTTTTTCTTCTGAAATTGTTAACCTTGAGAAGAATTTATTAAAGTTTTCTAAACTCAGACTGTTGAACTCAATTTTTGGTCTGTGACCAGCATTTTTTTATATCATATTAATTAATGGTGGTAGTACTACAGTTTGTAATAAAATATTGAGGCTGCATTCTTTGCAGTATTGTGGTTTAGTTGGTAGTACTCTTTGGAGTAAAATAAAAATCATTGTAAACTCTTGTTTTATGCAGAGATTTTTAAAAATCTTGCCTTTAGACCTCAGGTGTCGAAAAAGAATTAAAAGAATCAGCAAAGTAAGTTTTGAGTGAGAAGACATAAGTTAGAAAAATGTATAAATCCATGTTCTCTTGCTCTAGTATAGAAACAGTGATGACAGCAAACAAAATTGAAAGAGAATTTGGCCACAGCACAGAGATTCATGTTAAATATTAGGTAAGGTTGAATAGGATAAGTGATAATAGGAACATGTATTCTATTAAACTGGAAAGACTGTCTAAAAAACCTTTTTAAGGAAATTTTTTAGAAAAGGAAGTATGCCCTTTTGCCACACAACTTGACAGAAGCATTCTTCATTTTTTTTCTTTCTCTTGTAGTACATTTTCTCTACATTGTTACAATTCAAGCACATACTATTTTAACCGCTATGCTTTTCTTTAGAATTTGCCCTTCACCTGGAATGCCCTGGCACTGTTTTCTGTTGCTTTAAATCCTTTTTCAGGTATGATTTACAGTCTCTCAGAGCTTCAGTTTTCTCATCTGCAACATGATGAGGCTGAGTACATCTCTCAGATCTCTGATCTTTTTCAGTTCTGAAATTCTGTGAGTCTGGTGGCACTGTAAGTTTCTTGTGGCCATAATCAGCCCATTCAACTGGCATGCTGTTGAACTGTTGAGTACTCAGAGGTAATCTGATTTCTTTGAGGTCATGGTCAAAAGAACATCAACTTGGAATTAAACAGTGCAGTTTAAATCTCAGGTTAGATATTTATCAATTAGCTTGCAGTTCTCCCCCGATTGCTTGTGTGATTTTTGTTTAGGTCTTTTGTAGATGTTTTTCAGTTGGTCTTTATATTTTTCTGAGCTTGAATTAAACAGGCCTCAGTTCAAATCTCAGGTTAGGTATTTATTAGCCTGTGGCCTTGGATAAGTCACTTCTCTGATAATATTTCCTTTTCCATAGAGAGTAATACCATCAATTCCCTTGATTGGTTATGGTAAGAAGATGAGGTAAGGTATTTAAAGCACTTTGCATGTTGTAGATTTTCAATAAAAGGCAGCCATTGTTATGATAGGGTTCCTTTTACATCTAAAATTCTAAGTTTCTTTGAAAGTGCTGTGTAGGAAAGAGCATGTGCTTTTGGAACCAAGCGGACTTGGGTTTGGATTCTAGCTCTGCCTTTTGCTAGTTGTGTGGCTCTGGACAAGTCACTTTTTAAAAAAAAATTTTATTTTTTTAAAAATATTACCAGTAAGGGGATTCCAAACCTTGACTTGGTGTTATCAGGACTGCACTCTCTCAAGTGAGCCAACTGGCCATCCCTACATAGGGATCCGAACCCGTGGCCTTGGTGTCATCAGCACCACATTCTCCCAAGTGAGTCACAAACCGGCCCAAGGACAAGTCATTTTTGATTGTTTCCTTATTCAGTATATCTACATAATGCAACCTACTTGTGAGAATTTGACATAATGTATGTAAGCATCTAGCACAGTGTCTTTGACAGTGTTTGCACTTACAAGTAGTCATTAGAGCTGTTCAAGAGATTGGATACTTAAACTTATATGAACCTAAAATAGATAAAAATAAGAGCATGTTGTGCTCCCACCTAAAGATGTGTGGATTGGGAAATCACAGTCCCGGGTTCTGCCTGGATTGCCTGTGTGATTTTTGTCTAGGTCTTTTGTAAATGTTTTTTAGTTGATCTGTATATTTTTCTTGGCTTGAAACAGTTACCTTGTTTCCTTCTGAGACATGAGGAAGAATAAGAAACAATGTTCTTAATATGTAAGTGAGCCATGTTTTTAGATAAGTTGGTTAAATCGTGGTGCTGATGAGACCCAAACTTCAGTTTTGAGTTGCAGATGGGTTAGTTCAACTTGGCTGAATAAAACTTTCCAACTTTGCCCAATTGTCTTAACATTTATGTCTGTGGTTGTGAGAAACCAGAGTGTACCAGTGCAACGATTCAACAGTCAGTCACTGCTGGAACATCAATTCTGTGTTCTGTTTCACTTAAAAGGATAGTAATTTCATCTTCATTTATCTTAATGTGTAAAGAATAACATTTACTGAGCAACATAAGGCTTTCAATAACTAGGTTGAGTTTAATAGATCATGTTTTTTTCACATTTTTTTTTGCTGAGGTTCTAAATAGCAAGTGAAGGACCTACTTACAGTTTTAAGTTTAAAGTTTCTTCTCACCTACCAGGTGTTATTTTCATGGTATTCATAGGGTCCTATTTTTTTCCTTTATCCTTAGCAATTGATAGCTTTTCTCTCCTCTTCCATGAAATAACCCATATTCTTATACCAAATTTTGGCTTCCAATCTGAAACTACTCATATGGGTTGGATGAAAGGCCACCCTCTTGCCTTGCCCTCCTCTTCAAGTCTAAAATTGCTAGTGATAGAAAGATCGAGCATTTTCATTATTCATTTTACATGTGCTTAATAGGATTTTTGTGAGCACCTGCTGTGCCTGCTTGGAAAGTATGTGTGCAACTCAGTCTTCCACAAGTTTATCCGAAACATCAAAGCTGTGAGTGAACTCTCCTAGAGCAAATGTCAACTTCAATGAGTATGATTTTCAAAGTAATATTTATCATGCTTTCCAGGCATAAACGAATCTCTGCAGCTGGCCTTGAAGTTGCAAGCTGAAATTCACAGAAGCCAGTTATGGCAGTATGGATACTTATATAGAACACAACCCCTGCTTTGGGAAATGTTGGCAGTTGAGGCCCCTAAATAAAGAGATTACTTAATGTGGGATGTTATTGAGGATTCTGTAGAGAGTATGTTAGCAGGGACTGCAAATTTGGTCAGCCATTGGGATTGTCGAGGAATGTTGTACAAGTAATTGAGTTAACTAGTAGATGAGTGTTTCCCTTCAGTTTTAGATTTCATGAATCTCTTGGGCAGAGTACCATCTTCAGCTTTCTAGGATTTTATAAAGACAGATGTTCATGGTTTCTACAAATGACAAATGCAGGGAAACACAAGTGACAAACTACAAACATAAGCTAAGAATTATTTATCTTATATGTACCTATCTATGTATGTGTGTCATTTCCCCCTCCCTCTCACAACCTTAAGTAAGTATTTGCGAGTAATTTCTCCCAAATAATAATGGCAGTTTTGGGAGCCTGTGTCTTAAAATGGTAGTTGAAAAGCAAACCCTTAACCTTACAGAAAATGACCTATACTATGTGGAAGGAAGACAGAAAAATGGGTCTGAGTTCTTTAATTATATAAGATACATCTGGGAGAAGATTAGAAAAACTCTTATAGAGGTGGAGATCTGATTTGTTTCTCTCACGTGGTTCTTAACTTTTTCTTTTAGAGTAGGGCAACTTAAAAAAAGGATTCCCCTCCTTTTATTCTGTTCCTTGGGAGTAGAAATACTTTGTCTCACCCAGTCTCCTGTTTCTGAGAAAATACTGGATTCTGGATTGGTGGGTGGTGTGTTGGTACTAATTTTGGATAAGAGCAGACAAGTTGGGTAAGAAGAGATGAGTAGGAAGACTGTAGAAGTTGACACACATTTTTCCCTCTTTTCTGGAGTGCACTGGTAGTGACTAGTACAAATTTAAACTTGGCAAGCCCCATTTGCTTAAATTTGTCTTTAGGAGCAGTAGGGAATAGGGTGGACAGCCAAGGTTAGTGGACTGAATGTCGGCAGGCCTGCTTCTGTTGATTGCTTGTTACATTA